AGAGAGAGAGAGAGAGAGAGAGAGAGAGAGAGAGAGAGAGAGAGAGAGAGAGAGCGCGCGCGCGCAAGAGAGAGAGTGGGGGTATGGAGATAGAGGGCGAGGGAGAGAGCGCGCGCGAGGGAGGGAGGGAATTAAGGGTGAGGGAACGATGGCTCAGTCGTAGTGGTAGTGGTCATTAATCTCCATATATATATATAAACATATTATTAAACAAATTATATAGATTTGTATCATATAGACCAGTGGTCGTAGTAAGTCCGATTGCTTAAGCGCCATTTTGCGGATAGCATATTGAAAACAGTTTGTAATAACAAGCCACGTTAGAATAAAGGTTAGGGTTAAAGTTATGACTACTACGTTCCGGCAGTACCTTGGGGAACATATAGACCCTCTCAGCACTATTAGGTTTAAACTATTGTGGCGGGCTATAGTCATCTTCTTAATATCTCGGTAAATTGGTATAGAGATATAATTATGGCTAGGACTTAAGCTTGGGGAACGACCTGAACATTTATTTCTTGATTAATAGAGTTTGGGGGCTTTGGGCGGGTTAATCATTCAGTTTAAATCCCGATACATGATTAAGGCTGTGGCACGGGCTGGCCCATCTCCCTCCCCTTCACCCTCTCACTTCTTCCTTCCTCTCGTTCCTGTAATGTCTTCGCTATATATCGCAATATCGGCGATGAAATGAATCAGAGATCGTCTCACCTTGCTGGAGTAGCGAACCGAAGGTATAACGCAGGTAGTAAACGTAGGTGCTCTCTCTGACGTCGCCATCATGGCAGCGAACGATCCTCGGCCACCATTGCAGCAGCAGCGGCATCGTCGTCACGTATCCTAGCAACGCGAGCCAGATGTTTGCGTCGAACGGCAGCAGCACGCCGACGGGCGCGACCTTGGCAACGGGCAACTTCTTTAAGACGAAGACGGGTGACGAGATGAAAATCGGCGAGAGAAATCGGACGAGCTGCCGTCGCGCCGGAGTCGGAAACAAGGGCGCGATGAGCAGGTCAATGCTGTCGTTGCAGAGAGCGGCGATTCCTGGCTCGTCGACGGACATAATTCGAAGGTCGTAGCTTCAAGGTCAAGAGAACACGGTGGTCGTTAGATCTGTGATTATATACCAATGGTATCGCTAGGACGATCAAGGTTGTAGCCTTAGCTTAAAATCAATATAAACGAATATATATTGACATATATTATGATAAATGGATAAAAACGTCTTTTCGTATCTAGTTTCATGTATAATAATATAAGTATAATAAGTATTTTGTTATAATGTACGGGGTGTATCAAATTAAGGCAGGAACGTGCCTCCTGCAGCGAAACACCGACGACAGCACGTTGCGAATTATTGCATTACCACACACACACACACACACACACACACACACACACACACACACACACACACACACACACACACACACACACACACACACACACACACACACACACACACACACAACACACAACACACACACACACATACAACACAACAC